TCCTCTGCAGCCTTCACAAGCTTGAATTCTGCTGGCAGGGGAGTTGCAACCTTGCGCTCATTCTCAATCCCATACTTCTCCCCCAGCTCCTTGATGAACTTCTCCTGGTGCAGCTTCAACCACCTGTGATCTGGATCCCTCTCCACGTGCATCCCGAGGTAGTACTTTACCTCCCCAAGGTTCTTGCACTTGAAGTTTTCCATCAGTTGCTGCTGCACTTTCTGAATCTCCTTCATGCTGCTGCTGAAGAGAAGAATGTCGTCCACATAGACCAGAAACAGCACCAGCTTCTCCCCCTCGCCCTTGAGAAAGAGGCTCTCATCACAGCTGCTGGTCCTGAATCCCATCTCCTCTAAAACAGCTGCCAACTTCTGGTACCAGCAGCGTGGCGCCTGCTTCAAGCCGTAGATGGACTTGTTGAGCTTGCACACCCTGCCCATACCATCCTCATACCCAGGCGGCTGCGTCATGTACACATCCTCCTCTAAAATCCCATTCAGGAATGCCGTTGAAATATCCATCTGAATGATGAATTTCCCACTAACAGCTGCATCTGCCAACAAGACACGGAGGGTAGGGGGTTTGGCAGTGGGAGCAAAGATCTCGTTGAAGTCCTGCTTCTCCTTCTGCATAAACCCCTTCGCCACCAGCCTACTCTTGTAGATGGTGACCTGCCCCTTGTCATCGGTCTTGATCCTCAGCACCCACTTGCATTGTATCGCTTTCTTCCCATCAGGCAGCACCACCAGATCCCATGTCCTATTCTCCAGCAGACTCTGGTACTCAGCATCCCTAGAAGCCAGCCACTTGTCCCTATCTGGTCCAGCTAATGCCTCCTCCATGCTAGCTGGTTCCCCTGGGATGCAGACCCCTCTCCAGCCTGCCCCCCACCATGCCACGCCAGGGCCGGCAGCTGCCACATAGATCTGTACACGTCCTTGCTCTCGTGCAGATCCCAAAGCACCCGATTGCCCAGCTTCCCCTTATAAGTGCGTGCCCCATCCGTGTTGGTGTTCACCCCAGCCTTGCCAAGCTTACGGAGGGAGATAAGGTTGGCCTTCAGGTCGGGGACGAAGAGAACGTCGTGCAGCACCACCGGCTTGCCATCCGCTCCCTTAAACGCAGCTCGTCCCGCACCAGCCACCTTCAACATGTGTCCAGAGGCGGAGCACACTTCATTGATCGGTGCAGCTCGTACTTCGTCCAGCAGGTCCTTGCGCGGCGTCATCGTCCAAGCAGCGCCTGTGTCCAACACCCAATAGTCTAGGGGGTGCAGCTCTTCTCCAACTTTGGCAGAGGCGTCTCCTTGCTCCCCCTTGTCTCCCACATGGAAGAATTGGCCCGCGGTGCGCTCCTTCTTCTTCTCCGCACCGCCGTTGCCCTTCGGGTTGTTGTCGGACGAATCAGCGACCATGTTGGCGCCGTTTTTCTGGTTCCTCCGCGCGCCGCCATCCTGGTGACGATTCTGGGGGGTCCATCCATCGGGTTTCTTATAGCACAAAAACCAGGGGTGCCCTTCCTTCTCACAATACCAGCAACTCCCTTTCATTTTGCCACCAGCACCCGACTTGCCCCCACGTCCAGATTTCGCACCGCGACCCCAACCTACATGGGTAAATTAAGCACTTACTCTTAGTACCATCCAAATGGGTAAGTAACGCACTTACTCTATGTACCATCGATATGGGTAAACTGCGCTCTTCCTTTTAGTACCATACACATGGGTAAGTAACGCACCAATCCTTAGTACCATGCACACAGGCAAATTGCGCACCTATTGTTAGTCCAATGGATATGAATAAATTGTGCTCTTCAATTCTCTTAGTACCATCCACATGGGTAAGTAACGCAATTACACTTAGCACTATCCATATGGTACTCTTGGTACTTTCCGCATGGGAATACATACATATTCTTAGTGCCATTCTGATGGGTAAATTACGCACTTATTCTTAGTACAATCTACATGGGTAAATTAGGCACTTTCTCTTAGTACCATGGTACCAACCATATGTGTAAGTAACGCACTTACTCTTGGTAACATCGATATGGGTAAATTGCGCTCTTTATCTTAGTACCATCCACATGGGTAAGTAACGCACTAATCCTTAGTACCATCCACATGGGTAAATTTCGCACTTTTTCTTAGTACACTCCACACGGGTAAATTACACACTTATTCGTATTACAATCCACATGGCTAAATTATGCACATATTGTTAGTCCATTTAAATTGGTAAGTAACGCACGTATTCTTCGTGCCGTCGACCAGGGTAAATTGCGCTCTAACTCTTTGTACCATCCAGATGGATAATTAATGCACTTACTGTTTATACCATCCACATCGGTAATATACTCACCTACTAAAAGTACCATCTAGATGTTAACAAGGGTTGTGTGTTGGCCCGGTCCTCGCTTGGGTGGAACTGACTCCGTGGACGGGGGTGCGGAAGGTGCAGCTGACCTGCAGCAATGGCCGGCGCTGACTTGGGTGAGCTTATGTCAGGGCTGAACGGGGCCATTGCGGAGCTCACCCAAGCAGGACTTGAACGGGGCCATTGCAGATACGCCGACTTTGGAGAGCTGGCGGCTGACTTCAACCTGGTGGTCGACGAGAGGACACGTCGACCTAGGAGGGGTGCCGATGTGAGAGTACGACGGCTTATGCTGGCTTTGCTAGCTTGCCTGGACTTTATTATGCTCTATTTAGCTTAGGATTTATTTATCGTGCATAGATATGCTCGGTTTCCTATATTAGGAGATTGGCCAGGAGCAGGTCACTTACACCAAATTCTAGGCATTCGGTTGCCATGGAACTGCCTTATACCAGATTTGGGAAGGATCCATCCAGGACATTTCGCGACCCGCGAAACCTTTGCGTAACACCTGGGTTACCTGCCTTGTGTCGAGACTATATATAGCCTCGTGTTGTACCCAGGTGGATCATTGAATTCAAACTTAATTTTCTGATCTCGATGCTCGATCCTCAAACTTGATAATCAGAACCGTTTACACGCGAAGTTTTCGACCGCTACAACCTAGCTTTTAAAAACGTGGGGGCGACGACGAAAGCGCCGATTTCGGGTACGTAAACCAATTTTGTGCGATTTTCTAATGCCCCCCTCAAACTGGTTTTCGAACACTCCTCAGGTTCATTGGTGAAAAAAGTTGGAATGTAGACCATCATATCGGTTCGAATCTCAACGGCCCTAAAAAATTCGCCCCAAAAAGTTGGAATTTGGAGCGTCAGATCGATTTTTTCTAAACGACCAAGATAGGACGCGAATGTAGACTAATGGAGAATTACGAGACGTACAGAATCAGCAGTCGTCATTTCGACAGTCAATTCGCTTTACGGTAAGTCGACCAGTGCCTAGATATTATTTATTTTCGTCGCAAATCTTCCTGTAAATCGCAAATTGTAGGAAAATGGTGATAGTTCTGTACGAAAAAATACAGAGTTACGCACCGACTTGGACCAGACGCGAGCGGTACTCCAGCGAAAAGAGGGAGCTTCTCGCGAACCAGACAGCAGCCGCCACGGCAGCAGCAAACGCAGCAACAAATGCAGGAGCGACTGCAGCAGCTCAGCGGCGAGACCAACACTTCTTCGAGCAGCAGCCACAGCGAATCCTGAGGCGGCACGTCCGAGGCTATCGAAGACGTTCAATCCGAATGTGAGAAACACCGACGTCCGTCGATTCATTGCGACCCTCGAAATTTACTTCGAGGCCGTTGGCTGTACGACCCCGACACACGATACAATGCAGATTCGAATCGTAGCGACACTATTTCGAGGCCCTGCGCTCGAGTGGACTTACATGAGATCCAAGGCGATGGGTCATGGACGCAGTTTTGGGCAGCTTTAATTCAACGTTTCGAACCGATCAATTCCAGCTACATGGCGCAGCAGCAGATCTATCGGCACAAACAATACAGAAGCGAAGCACAGTATACGCAGCAAATGGAGACTCTTCAACAAAATTACCGATCTGACCGAAGGGGAAGATATTCAAGCTTACTCTGAGAGACTGAAATTTGAGATACACCAACAAGTGATCGCGACAAACTACAATAGCGACCGCGATATGGTGTGTGTAGCAGAGTGATTCGACCCGAGACACGACACCACGTGCCAAACAGGCCTTCAAACACGAAGCGATCAGAACCACCCACGACCGCCGACCCGATGGATATCGACAAGATCGACGCGATGAAGCGGCCGACAAAATATGAGAAATGCAAATTTGTGGCGCAGTAGGACATCGATTCTTGGTGTGCTGGAAAATGAAGAAGGCACTAGCAGAGTTGCAGGGCACCAACAGTGTTGCACCCCCGAAGTAAAAAAACGGGAATCGCCAGTAGCCGCAGATCGACCTGGCGGTTACGAAAAGATCCGGAAAAGGCGAAAAGGCGACGACGTGGCGACTTCGGAACAAGCGGAAAAAAGAGATTATGATGGCACAAATTTGAAACGTCAAGACTGGACGGCAACAGGGAAAATCATCGAAAAGGAGGCTCCGCAAAACAAGACTCTGCACCGACCGGGAAACTCCAGCCGAACACCCACGAAAGTAAGAATTCGTTAAAGTTATCCTATAAATATACTTTAACTAAGAATATTATTTGTCGTGATTTCCAAGCCTTTGAGAAATTTAAGGCTAAGAAAAAACCCTTTGAGATTATTCAGGTACCTGAAAAGTTGGGCAAACAACTCCGAAGTGTTGAAGGGTCATGCGTTTCATGGAGTTAATACTCTCTCCCCGCAGCACAGTGTTAAGGTGCCCAATTGCCCATAGGTAAATCCTACACAGCTGCAAAGGCTTAGGGAGAGGTTCCCCCAGACGAAGCTGAATCGGCCTCGGATAAATCCTTCTAACCCTGCTCAGTTGAAAATTGATATTGAGTCTGCAGGTTTAAGTGCAGGACCTAGGGATAATATATTCGACGTACCCTATGATCCTTTAAGCGAGACCATCTACGTCTACTTGGAGCAGCAGATGCCACTATTCCTTGAGGTATTATGCAAAGGACGACGCCTCTGGGCAGTGGTCGACAACGGTGTGTACCACTCGGTGTGTAACCGCGGGACGTTAGACAAGATTGGAGAGAAAGCGGAGGTGACCCAGTTTTCAGCAACGATGGTGGACGGTACAAAGGTTCCTATCCACGGCGAAACATCACTGCAGCTGCATATAGGTGCGTTGAGAAGGAAACCGACGTTGCCGATCACAAACATAAAGGGTTTAGATTTTATCTTGGGGCGAGATTCCTTGAAGCGTTTCAACACCGAGACTGACTGGGTCGATTGAAAGGCGTGCATTTACAAGAACGGGAAACGAGTGGAGCTGAGAAGCTGGACGGATTCAGGAGATGTTCCTGAAACATCACTGGCACGGTTCGAACGGACGGTGAACGAGAGTAACATGGGTTACTTAGCACTGGTTATGGCAGCAGCAGAGGAGGAGACGCTGAGTTCGGATCTACCTGCAGCAGTTAAGGAGGTGTTGGAGCAGTATAAGGACATCATGCCAGACGACATACCTGCAGAAGTACCTCCAGCACGCACCTACGAGCACGAGATCGTGGAGGAACTAGGTGCGAAACCCGTCTCACGTGCACCATACTGAATAAGTCCGACCGAACTGACAGACATGAAAAAACAGATCGAACAAAATAGGACAGACAACTGATCTGCCCATCCACATCTCGTTATGGAGCACCAATTCTCTTCGCTCCAAAATCAGACAGTAGTTGACGGATTTGCATTGACTACCGTTCACTAAACAAACAGGCAATTAAGAACAAATACCCCATACCGCGCATAGACGATCTTCTAGACCAACTGCGTGATGCAACGTTGTTTCCGAAGTTGGACCTACGATCGGGTTACTGGCAGATCAAGATGGCGGACAACTCAGTAGCATTCGGTACCAAGTACGGTTCCTAAAAGTATCTAGTGATGCCGTTCGGACTCTGCAACGCACCAGCGACGTTCCAGGCGGAGATGAACCATATCCTACGGCCCCTACTGGACGAGTGCATAGTGCTGTACCTGGACGAGATTCTGATCTACTCCAAGAACATGAAGGAGCACGTGGAGCATCTGCGGAAAGTCTTCGAGATCCTGCGGAATAATAAGTTCTATGTGCAGGTGTCTAAGAGCGACTTCGCACTAAATTAAAAGGTGCAGTTTCTCGGGCACATGGTGGGTGGGGAGGGCGTACACGTGGACCCGCGGAAAATCGAAGCCGTCACATCGTGGAAAGTTCCTGGGAATGTGAAGAAGTTACAGCAGTTCCTAGGCTTCACTAACTACTGCAACAGGTTCGTACCGCAGTACGTTGAGATAGCAGCGCCACTGACTGACCTACTGAAAAAGGATACGCCCTACAAATGGGATACTTCTCAACAGCAAGCCATGGAGCAGGTACAGACAGCACTGACTATAACGCTGATACTCATCCTACCGGACCCAGACAAAGATTACGCGGTGGAAGCAGACACTATTGACCAGGCAGTCGGAGCAGTACTGATGCATGATCACGGATTGCAGCCCATCGCCTGCCTTAGTAAAAAGCTACATGGAGCAGAACTGAACTACCCCATCCATGACAAGGAAGCCTTAGCGATAGTCACAGCCTTCACTGTGTGGAGGTGTTACCTAGAGGGAGCCAAGACAACAGCCTACACTGACCACTGCAGCCTCAAATACCTCAAGTCGCAGCCTACGCTCTCGCGACGATAGGTGCGGTGGGTAGACTTCTTGGAAACTTACTTCACCTACGACATGCTCTAAATCCAGGGTTACAGAACAAAGCAGACGCGTTGAGCCGCCCCGGTCATGTAGCAGGCATCCAACTCGACGGGATGAACCCTCTGCTTAAGGGTCTATTGCAACGTGAGTACTCTGTGGACTCAGACATCGCTATAGCACAGGCAGAGAAGCTGTTACAGTGGGAGAAACAATTAGGTGTAAGTCAGGGAGCAGGAAAGATTTGGGTACTGAAATATGCCCCGCTACGGCAGAACCTGCTGGAGGAGTTTCAAGGTGTACCATACGCGGGACATTTCGGGAGCAACGAGACGTTAGCAGGGATAGGAAACTATTACTACTGGCCCCGGATGGCAGCAGACGTGCAGCAGTTCGTCACTTCATGCGACACGTGCCAGCGGATGAAGAGTAGCAAGCAGAAAAAAACAGGGTTATTTCAGCCTCTACCCGTACCGGAGCAGCCATGACAAGTCGTTAGTCTCGACTTCATGACATGACTTCCTTCGACCCCACGAGAGCATGGCGACATCCTCGTTATGATTGATAAGTTCTCCAAAATGGGTCATTTCATACCGACCAACGCCACAGCTACAGTTAGCAACTGCTCGCCTTTTCTTCGACCTTACGATCGACGGCATCCCCGCTACACTCATTTCAGACTAAAACCCAAGAGATTCACCAGTAAGTTCTGGAAGGAGCTTATGGGATTGTTGGGGACAAAGCTTGCAATATCTTCATCATATCACCCCCAGACTGACTGACAGATGGAGTGACTCAATCAGGTGGTTGAACAGTTACTACGCACAGCTTGTAAAGACGACATCAACCACTGGGAATTACAGTTCCGATGCTTAAGTTCGCTTACAACAACACCTCGCATGCCGCCACAGGAAAAACTCTTTTCTTCCTGTGTTACGGACAGGAACCAAGAATCCCACAGTAACCAACCACACCGGCACACGTGTTGGGTGCAAATTCACATTGCACGACATCATGCCGTCTGTTTGTACGAGTATGCGTGTGCGAGTGCATTTGCGTATGCATGATGTGTTCGTGTGTTTGTTTGCTTTCGCAATTTTTGCTTGAAGCATTTGCAGGTACTCGCGCAATGTGCGCTTCGGCACAACATTGTACGTGTTATGAACAGTGCAAGCAGAAAGGACGAGCTCGCAAAGGAACCCAAGATGGAAGCTTTGCAGTTCGGTTGAGTTGATTGCGCAGATTCAGTTCTATCCAACTCAAAATTGTACTGTTATGTTTGGTTGACTATAGTGTAGCAAGGCAGGCACTATAGGGGTACAATTTAGATGAAGGTTGGATGTTGTTTGTCTGTATCTGCATGCTACAAGGCCAGGGGAAACCAGCAGAACCAGCATTTGGCTGGTTGGGCAAAGACAAAACAGGTTCTGCTTTTAGAATCTGAACCTGGTTGTTGTTTTCCCAGGTTGGAAAAACAGAACCAGAGGTTGTTTTCCAACCTACCACCTGCTGTTTTGTCCAGCCAGGTTGGTTCTGTTGCTTGGAATTACTTGGGATCATCCCTGGTTGTTCCCAGGTTGATTCCCAAGGTCCTTGCTAGCTAGAACTATTTTTTCCTTCTCTGTTTGTACCTGAACATAGTCTATGATTCATGCGAATTCCTTCCTCGCTGGAATTTCGTTTCTACGCGGTTCGACGGCGGAATGCTACCCGAGTCAACGCTAGTATGCTAGCACTCCAACGCTAGGCAAACGCTGTCCGAGCCATAACTTTGTAATGGCAGAACTTTTTGCGAGGCAACTTGGCTTATTTTAAAGCTCTTGGAGAGAGCTTCGATATAGCGAATTCTCAACTTAATCCGATCGACGGTCTGCACGGCACGCTGCGCGACGTTCATGTCAAACATATATGCTGCATATTGTCTAGGCTGTAGTGGGGTAGCCCATATGGGGTACAGCCCAATTAGGGTTTACTACTTGTACTCCTGCATGCTGCTAGTTCATCCATTCCTGCTGCTAGATTCTGACATGGTTTCAGAGCACTAAGGTCCGTAGGACCGTTTTTTTTCGGGCCCACCTACCGCTGCGGTTACCGCGCTACCCCACGTACCTGCCTGCCTTGCCTTGCCTTGTGACGTGCTGCACTATGTGCGCCGTCCAGCAGCCCTAGCGCTGCCTCCTGCTGCCCTAGGCCAGCGCGCTGCCCCTAGAGGCCCGTAAGGCCCACGCGCCGCCCCTAGAGGCCCGTAAGGCCCGCACAGCCCGCTGCAGCCGCGCGCAGCCCGCACAGAGCCCGCGCAGCCCGCGCCGAGCCGCGCGCAGCCCGCTGCAGCCGCGCGCAGCCCGCACAGAGCCCACGCAGCCCGCGCCGAGCCGCGCACAGCCCGCTGCAGCCGCGCGCAGCCCGCACCGAGCCGCGCGCAGCCCGCACCGAGCCGCGCGCAGCCCGCTGCAGCCGCGCGCAGCCCGCAGCTGCCGCGCGCAGCCCGCGCCGAGCCCACGCAGCCCGCGTCGAGCCGCGCGCGGCCTGCTACGGCCTCGCGAGGCCCGCGCGCGGCCCGCAGCAGCCCGCGCCGAGCCGCGCGCGGCCTGCTACTGCCTCGCGCGGCCCGCAACAGCCCGCGCCGAGCCGCGCGCGGCCCGCTACTGCCTAGCGCGGCCGCGCGCGGCCTGCAGCAGCTCAGCGCGCTGTCAGCGCAGCCCGCGCCGAGCCGCGCGCGGCCCTCTGCCTCGGCCACGACCTGCCGCTGATGCGGACCCGCCCTGCAGCTACCACGGCCCCGACCTGCCGCTGATGCGGCCCCGCCCTGCAGCTGCCACGGCCCCGACCTGCCGCTGACGCGGCCCCACCCTGCTACTGCCGCTGAAGCGGCCCCGCCCTGCAGCTGCTTCGGCCCTGCTCTGCAGCCGGTTTTGCGGCCCCGACGCCGCCGCTGTTGTGTGCCTACTCGGCCGCCGCCCGTCGAGCGCCGGCCCTGCTCGCCCGGTGAGCGCCTGCTCTCCCAGCCTTTGGTGAGCGCCTGCCTGCCTGCCTGACGGCCTGCCTGTCTGCCTGCCTGCCTGCCGGCCTGGCTGCCTGCCTGCCTGCCGGCCTGGCTGCCTGCCTGCCTGCCTGCCTGCCTACCTGCCTGCCTGCCGGCCTGCCTGCCTGCCTGCCGGCCTGCCTGTCTGTCTGCTTGCCTGCCTGCCTGCCTGCCGGCCTGCCTGTCTGTCTGCTTGCCTGCCTGCCTGCCTGCCTGTCTGCCTGCCTGCCTGCCTGCCTGGCTGCCTGCCTGCCTGCCGCGCCTGCCTTGCCCGCGCTACTGCTGCTGCTACTGCTACTGGCAGGTGGCCAGATGCAGCTCCAGCGACGTTCACGCGAGCCTCTGACGCCCCAGCAGCTTAGTGAGTGGTATACTAGCTGGGGTTGTCGCAGTAGCCGTCGTAGCTGTCGCCCTGGAGCTGGTCAGTTGGGAGCGTCTGGCAGTGGCCAGCTGCAGCTGCAGGGGCGTCCACGTGAGACACTTACGCCCCGGCAGCTCCAGGAGTGGTACGCTCAGTGTAGCAGGTCTACGCGTACAGTTCGCTGCCCGTACGTCATTCGCACAGGTGCTAGGACTGGTCAGCCTTGTGGGACGCTTGGTCACACACAGTCCCGCTGCTTCGCCCGTCTGAGCGACGACTGGCGCACAGTGTTTGGCGACGAGGCTGAGCTCCCCACCTGGCTGGAGCTGCATGGACAGAGGGTAGATATCTTTGCGCTTGACTATGATGCTATTCTCACTGCCATGTATGCATTGCCTACTAGTGCTGATCGTGCCTGTTATCTGTGCGTACCGCCTGACCCTGGTGAGGCTGCTGCTCTAGGTGCTAGTGCGTCTCCTGCTCTAGGTGCTGGTGAGGCTGCTGCTCTCGGTGCTAGTACGTCTACTGCTCTAGGTACTGGTGAGGCCGTGGCTTCAGGTGCTGGTGAGTCTGCTCTCTCTGGTACTGCGCCAACTACGGTCTCGCACACCTTCACCCTTGAATCAGAAGCTTCTCGCTCCTTCTTTCGCGACTGCACCACACTCACGCCGCTTAGTCGGCCAGTTCCAGTCTCCCTGGCGGACCCCTCCGGGGGTCCAGTCCTTGCCCACTACTCCACGGTTCTGCCGTGTCCGGCCGTCCCGTCCGGCTCGCTGTCAGGTCTTTACCTCCCCTCGTTCTCTACGAACTTGGTGAGTGGAGCTGACCTCCAGGGTCGGGAGGTTCACCAGTTCACTCCTGCGAGTCAGCGAGTGACTCACTGTACGTGTGCTAGGACGGGCCGGCACTTGGCCACGTTCACCCGTGCACCTGGCTCGAGTCTGTACACACTGACCACTGAGTCCCCTCAGGTAGCTGCGTCTGCGTCTACGTCAGGTCAGCCGACGGCCCCCTGCGAGTGTCGCGCTTTGTCGCACGACACTCTCC